GGTGACAAACGACCTACTTAGTTCGCTATAAACCCTCACTCGACCGTATGAATGGTGATGGCACCGGTGGGACGCTTCAAGTTCCCGGCTCTGACGCGATTCGGGTCCGAAGGATCGAGTTTCCGATCACTTCACTGGTACCCTATTTTGGTGGTAGGCAGCATCACTGCCTTATAGCTTGGGATAAAACTCCAAGTCCTAGGACTTACGTCACCGATCCATGTAGCTGAACGGTAAACCCCAGGGGACAAAGACATCCATTACTTATGGCGAACACCAAAATAAGGTGTTTAATAAAAAAGAATTAGTTTGGTTACCAGTAGTAATGACCTCTACTCCCTCGAGAGAATCCACTGCACTTGTATGAGGACCCGGAACGTATGCTACATTAGAAGTTGATGCAATTTTCTTTTTACATAGAACTCGGTCGTTGAAACCGTGTTTGCTTAGATGGCCACGATGGGGTGGGTTGGAAATGATTCTGCAACACTGTTTACACAGTACGTAACACACACACACACATTACGCTTTCGTGAAATGGACACTGGAAAAGACAGTGGTTGCAATTATTCATAAGAAACATGATAAGGAAGAAAAATGGCGATATTCTGGGTCTATGAAAACTTCTAAGCATCAAATAAAATAGAAAAAACAGCATTACAACCAGAGTATGTGCTATTTACTACCGGTTGCACTAGCCACTTACACCTTTCTCGATAAGGACTTTGCTCGCCTGCTCCAAGTGACTGGCAGCTTCGTACCAAATATCCGGGTGATGTCCGAGGCAAAGAAGACACTGTTCGTAGGCAAACATGACTGAAGAAAAAAGTTGGTTGCACGACTACAAGTGGAATGGGCTTGTGAAGACAAATTAAACATAGTTGCAAAACAGGAAGCGAGCAGGGACAGAGGAAATGCAATTAATCCATGAAAGCACAGAGCCACTACTTAACCGGTTGAACTGGTTTCAAAAGTTGTCTTTATATTCAGTGCAAAAAGCTGCTTGATGAATCGATCGAGGTTTCGAGTCAATTCAACTCAACAACAACGTCACACGCAATTTGAATGGTGTATTCAATAGTTACAGAATGAGTCGAAATTTATTGGCGCCTTATGTAAACGGCAAAACGCGGTGCCTGCTGTTAACTCATTGCAAGAAAGTTTAGCAGTAGATTGGGATATTTAAAATAGATGTAAACTCCATTTCCCCAGGTAAACTACCAATGTGTCCATTTTTAGACGGAGAAAATAGTGACGGTAATACTAATGACAATATAGAACTCCAACACTTCCGCCTACCACTAAAAAATGCCTTTCTGATTCTTTTTATATTTATTTAATAAATAAGTGTACAATCAACGCTCAACAAGGGGTGCCGCGACCAGACACAGGCTGCCTGAGAAGATACAGAAATGGGAAAGATGGGTAGCGGCGAAGCGGTTCGAACCCTAGAATTCCGGATCATAATTTTGACTACTATAATCATTTGTTATTTGGTTTCATCACACATTTTTAGTGTGATGAACAGCAGACAGGGTAACCCCATATTCACGAGGATCTGCTGCTTGTTGGTGGAGACCGGCAATCTAGTTCATGGGACTTGGAGCGGCGAACCAGATAAGGCCCCACTAGGTTAGGCGTGGTATCGAACCGGACGACAGCAAGACTGCCTACCACCAAAGTTGGGTGGCGGGCCTCGAACCTCGAACCGTAAGGTTCAAAGCACACCGGTGGCAGTGACTAAACCACTGAGCCACCACAACCACCGCCAACTGAGTAGTGAAACCATTAAGACTGCGTTGCAGATGACGAATCAGTGTGCCGTTGGGTTCCCTAATTACCGAACTTACGCCTGACGTTTGACGAAGAGTTTTAGGTTACTGTGATCGCTCAATAGAGCAAGTGGTTCAGCTCCATTGACTGTGTTGGTTGGAGCATGTGCTGAGAAAGACGCCAAATCGATTGCCACGGCGGCGTTTGTCGAGGCAGGTGTTACGTGGAGAAAAGCCAAGACCTAGCATGAAGGTATGAAAGTCCTAACCAGAAGACTCGTTCATATAGGTCGCGCTAGGCCCTCTGGATGATTGTAATCAATGGTTGGAGGCACTGAATGACACGGCTGCGTGTCGTAAACGGTGACGCTCGTGCGTTTGCTCACTGTCTTTGCAATCATAGTCTACTGAAATTCTCCATTTTCTCTTCAACTCTACTTTCAACGCTCCAGTCATTTTCTCCTACTCCTTCATCGAAATGGGCGGCCAAAAGAAAGCAACTAAAACCTGCGCATGGGTAATGGTTCTACATAATGAACTGAACTGAACTGCGTGAAACCATCAGTATTGCACAGAGAAAAGTAAATCGAGTGCACCTTTCGCATCGTTCGTTTGCTACCACAAACAGGATGAGTGCGGTATTGAGCCGAACGAACACAGAGCTGTCTACTATCGAAGTTGATCGATAGTGGCGAGATTTTAATCTTTCGCCTTAGCGCCAAAAGGATGACAGTGGCAGCGACCTATACTGCACGATTGCTATCGTCAGAGCTGTGAAAAACAACGGTTGATAGATGGGGACACAGGTTAGATATTTGTCTGGTTCAGTTTGTTTACTTACAAATCAGACTGGCTATAAGAAGATTCAACCACAAGTTTTGATATGCATGCGGAGTATGGAAAACCAAAATTACGCACAGGGAGTATTGGCATCACTCACTCCAGTAAATCACTTACGCAAACCGGGGTCAGTGAATACGAAAACAGTAGGCAACGATATGCATCAATCATTTTAGTTGGTCCTTGAGGTCAAACACTGCAAGATTCAGGATTATCGGTTTCAATAACCAAAAACCACCATAAAGAGGCATTTTCTTACACACTATTGTGTTGTGCCAGTGAACGCCTGTTCGACTAAGCATCGAGGTGTATTGGGCACCTTGGACTTTTAACCGCATTCAAAGGGCGAATGATCCGATGGACTGGATATCGGTCCTGCACGGACTGCGGTCTCTAAACAATGCCGTGCTACGCGGAGGGTCAGGCTTTAGCTAGTTCAAGGCTCCCCATGAAGATGTACTTGAATTTATTTGGGGAACTTAGTAGTTTCCTACTCAACCAAATCATAGCCCATTTGTTAGAAAGATTACTGTACTGTGCTTTGTTTTTTTATTATATAATGTTACAATAAAATTGGAAATCCCCATACAGAGGTTCAGTTTTTAGAACCATTAGCCATGCACTTTCGTATCTCGGTTTTAGCTGCTGTCTTTGGCTATCCATCTGGATGAACGGTGAGAGAAAGACAAGAGAGTTGCAAGCACAGTCGAAGACAAAATGGGGGGTTTCAGTGGACTAAGGTTGCATAGAAACTGAGAAGCTGCACGAACGCCATTGTTTACGACACTCAGCCATATCACTGTGTCTCTAACCACCGGTTACGATCATCTGGAGGTTCTCAGCCACGAAGCTTAACGGGACCCATGTGGCCGAGTCTCTTGGTTAGGGTTTTCATATCCTCCCCACACACAATCTGGACTCAGACGTGTGTGCAATAGATGCATACATTTCTGATGGGCAACAACCGAAATCACTATTGAAATTCACCTTCTCATCACATACATATTAGTGCGTTTAATCAAAAGGTAAGCAGTGTGTACGACAGCATACGTGTGAAAACCAAGGTCGAATAACACAACTGCATTATCACGGAAGTACAAACCGACCTCTTTTTGTAATTGTGATGATATCCTCGGTCTTCAATGGATTATCTTTCTCCCATTGAATGTATTTTTTCCACAGTTCAACCTAAGAAAGTGAGCAACAACTTTGCATTATTATGAACTAATTCGGCGAACTACAGCACTCGCAAGAAATAGAGAACAGAGTCAAATAAGTTTTAGTAACGGAACAGTATCATCGCAACGGTTGAGCAAAGACAATCAGGGCACTGGTCACCACAACCCATAACGAACTGTAGTTGATGAGAGTAAAAACAAGGTGAACCCGAATACAATTTATTTGGGAACCCGGAGAGACGAAATAGTCTTTATTCCCCTTCGAACAAAATAAAGATGAGCACTTAGAAATGAAATGAAATGAATATGGAAGAAGCATATGATAGCAATCAATTTAAAAAAAACATAACAATACGAATGTCTTTGAAATCTGTATTACAATATGCTATCAGGTGACAGCCAAATGCATGTCCTAGGCTTTCTTAAGTGTCCGATGAAAATTGCCGTACAATTAAATCAAACATAACTGTCATATTTCTTATGTTAAACTTTTGTTTGTTGTTATTACATTAATTTGGACACGTTCCTCTAAATTTCCTCTGGCGTCCTTTTCATCTCCTGTCGTCCACTTGTATGTTGACTAAAGCCCAGGTACTGGGTCTTTGTTTTCTTTCTACTCAACGGCTTATGCGATCGTTTTACACGTCAATTTATTCAGCATACAATTTATATCGAAATGGAACGCTAATCTCCGAACTGAAAGATTCGACACTGACCCGAACCTTTATAATTCCTTGACAATAATTTTTTGATTACATGCATTTGTGTAATGAACAGCAGGTCGGGCGAACCGCAGAATCACAGAGACCTGCGGTTTAGTGATAGAAACCGGCAACCCGAGCCCCGGGACTTGGAGTGGCGAACCACATACGGCCCCGCCAGGTCCGGCACTGGTTCTGTATCTTCTACAGATTTCTCACTGAAGCTGGGGTTGAGGATCCCGAAAAATTACATTTCCTATACAGTTACATTCCACCAGGTATCTATGTTACAACATTACGATTATGTTGTGGATTGTACATCATACAACGATACGGTGAAAACTCTGGTAAAACTATTCATCAAGCTGCCTAATGAGGCGTTTGCGCGATATCTACTAACAGACCAGAGCCAGAATAAAATTTCGATCAGTTCTTTTAGAACCTAAAATCCTTAGCTAAAGATTGTAACTTCGAAGCTGTGACGGCAAAAGAAAATCAGGATGACGCTAATTGAGACATCTTTATAAATGGGATATAATCAAACGTTGTGCGACAGCGTCTATTTGAAAACAGATGTCTGGATCCACGGAGCGCCCAAGAACTAGATCGGTTACTTGAAACAGCACAACAGTCTAATACTTTTCATACGCCACCAAAGTCGTACATAGCTGAAGGCCTCAGGTTCGTCCGAACCAAAGGAAAATCACTCGAGCTCGGAAAGAAAGCAACAGCTCATCCGTGCAAATGCCAGCTTCGACCAAAGCCAAATGCTATTTTTGCAGATAGATATCCACATTTCAAAGGTCCAGCTAATGATGCGGTTTGCAGTAACTGTGGGAAGAAGGGACATTTCAAACGAATTTGCAGATCGCACTCGGAGAAACGGTCAACCTCGGCTTCAATGCTTGCGCTTTCAACCACAATCTCTGCTCCGACTCGCCTCTCCAACGTAGTGATAAAAATAACCACGAATAAGCTCTAATACACACCTGAGGCTTTGGATCTTTCGTATAACGACATTATCTGAAGGTCACGCAATCATCCAGCACCATCTCGATGGCATCCACAGGATTGGTTAGCCAAAAGAAAGACCACTGTCTAGTCATCATAGGCCTCAAGAACAATTAATACGACAGCTTCAAACTCTCTATCCTTTCACATTTGTATGCGGGTATCCCTGGGGCATGATTTTTCGAGACTCCACAAAACAGTTGGAATTCTGTGCAGCCGCAGTAGGCCATTTCCTTCTCTTTGTAGTGTAAGTGCTTTACGTATCAAATCACCATCTTTCTTTGGGAACTTGCTATCAGATTGCAAACCCATTACAACCAAATCGCGCTGTCACACTCCTGAAGACCAGAAATTTATCCGATCGGATGTTATTCATTTTTTTAGGTACGGTTTCACTGAGACTTCAACTTCAGTCTGGTGCACCCAAGTCCTTGTAACCACAAATGAACAGCACAAGAGACGCAGTGGTCAACTACAGTAAAACTATTACTAAATTATTAAGATCGGTCGTTTATTATATTTGAAGATTACAGCCGTTTGGAGTGACCAGCAGTTGCTTGCTTCCAGCGGGTTATCGATAAAAGTGTCAATGTCAAGCCTCTGAGTCATCAACGGCTATACACCCAGAAGCCAACGAATCTTTCATCACCAATGTGATTCTTAGCTTCCACTCTATACAGACCATACCAACTTTGACGAGCCAAACCCCACGATCATATTTCAACCCCTTGTTCAAAACGCAGATCCACACAATATAGAACCCGATATACAACCATTTGTAAAAATACACCAATGCACCCACTTCTATAAATGTGAGAAATACGGAAGCTAAAAACATTTTCAACATACACAAGTCAGATTAAAAAGAATGTCACAAAGAATATTGATCGGAGAACGTATGATGAATTGAAGTTATGTCGATCTCACTCACTTGCTTCGCTTCATATGGTGTATTTTGTGGAGGTACCGAAGGCATGTTTCGGCACAGTCCTTTAGTGATCACTTCGTACTCTTTTGCAACCCGTCGGGCATTCATGTAATCTCGGCTGCGTTCCTCCGTAAACTTTTTGGCGATTGCTGGATTGATTGAGTTCTCATACATACAGTAGTCTCTCCAAATTGTCTCTATACCCAACATAGGGGTCACAATGGCCCTCTGGTATACACGTCTTGTTGCAGTGATCTTTTGGCTCTCAGCATAGGAGCCTTGGACTTGTCTGTAAGACAAAATTGACGAAGATGCAAATTCGGAAGTACAGAAGACGAGAGAAAAACAATTCTCTGCAGAGTTTTGACATATTTGGTAGCGTTTTATTATCTGTCGGGAAACGCACTTTGCAACGTTGAAAAATTAATGGAAACAAAGTACATTGGTGTGAAAATTAACCGCATGGTGTGCTTGATAAGAGAACATTTACAAGAGTGCTTTGATAAGATTTCCACAATTGCCAAAGTCCAACTGTCAAGTGATACAAACTCCTTTATTTGGAAACTTGCATAAAAACTCACGAATTGCACTTATTTAGTGGATACGTTGTGTTATTCAAAGAACTCAGTTTCGAATTTCGTTCCCAGTTGTCCTGTACCATTAGTGTGGTGCACTCAGGAGGCAAAGGGGAGGGGTGAATCCCGTAGTCAGTCAAACTTAGTAACTCGTTATATGAACTACCACTCCAGATAGCCTAATGATGAATTAAAAACTATAATAAGATAAGCGTAGTACTGATTCGCAAATCTTAAGGAACTGAGTACCTTAATGACCCAACGAGCTATACAGGATCTTTTCAAGCCATAGCTTAATTGTTTCTGATTCATCAAAATGTATTAGTCAGAAACTTATTCCCTGGGTCCGACAAAAACAACAGCATTCTCTCGTTCTGTGACCACCAATATTTGCCCAAAAGTATACTCCTGCAGTCGATGAGCGTCGAAATTTTCCTGTCTCCCTGTGTTGCTTCCTGATTTATTTAATGTGCTGTAATTAGCCAGTAGATAAAGCACTGAAAGCAAGCTGGTTTGCTGCATTGTTATCTTTTTCCAGTGAGACAGCCAACGAAAACCGTGTTACTGGGACCAAAACCCAAAATGGAGCAATCCGAGGTTAATGGACGTACCAACTTTTGATGGTATCCAGCTTCACTATGATCCCACTTAATACGATGACGGTCTTTTTGACCCTATGTAGTTCGGTAAGTTGTCTCAGGGATAAAGTCACCAGTTCCCATAGCCAGACAGCGTATTCTTATGACTGTGGTTCACCTCTAAGTTGAGGAATAATAAATGAAAAACTACAATTACACAAGCTGAAATAAAATGATTCGACGGTGTCGGGGTTTTAACATCACGGATCAAAAATGGTGACTGAAACTGCCTAATCATTCTCGTTTTACTTTCAAGCAAAAGCTTTGTATTACACAAATTTTGCGTGATGTACAGCAGACGGGGTGGATCCCATAGATACGAATACCTGCTGTTTAGGAATGGAAATCGGTAACCTCAGCCCCGGGACGTGGAGTGGCGAACCACATAAGGCTGTGGTACTGAACCGGACAACAGTAAGCTGTCTATGACCAAGCGGTATATCTCTGCGGCTTAGAATATATGGGTTAAGACAAAAACCGTTTAGAGCCCAACCCAAAATAGCACGAATTACATGCAATTAGACTGTTTATCGCACAGCATTGCGTGATGAACAGTAGGAGGGGTAACCCCCCACAACCATGATAACATATTGCCCAATCCAGATAACCAGCAAATCATACTCTAAGAACTGAAGTGGCAACCTGCGTAACTACGTGTTCAATTTCCTTACAGACGTATACAAATCAACTGGGGATAGCAGTGGTTGTAGACGTGCACAAACAAACCATATTGCGATCGGCGATCCATATAGAGATGCTTCGCGGAATGTTTCCATTGGAAAAAAATTTTCAGTGGAACTTCATCGCATCACCCTTCAAGTGTACGGTAACAAGTAGCTAATTTTAAGTGCTTTTTTGTAGGAATTTCGAAATTATGGCTTTGCAGTTCGACGAAATACTGGAGACCGCACTAAGTGGTCTCCAAAATGTAGGTATTGAATGGGCAGTTGGTGAAAACCTGTGCGATTTGGAGTACGCTGACGACATCGTCTGCTTGTTCGAATGTATGAAGGATGCACAAAGAGCACTTGAAGGAGTAGCAAGTTCCGTCACTCCGTTCGGCATGCGCTTTGCACCTTTAGAGTGCAAAGTGATGCTGCAAGAATGAATGTCGTCGAGTTCTGTTCTGAAAGTAGATGGTCAGGAATTAGCTGAAGTTGACCGCTTCTCGTACTTAGGTAGCTGCATGATCAACGACGGTAGCGCATCAAAGGAGATAAAGACCAGCATTTCCAAGGCTCGAGTATCGTACGCATGACTTAAACATCTATGGTGGCGGCGTGGTTTCATTAAAGTTGAAAAGTCGCGTATACTGCGCCACTGTACGATTAGTTCTGCTTTACGGTTGTGAGACCTTGAATGCGCGGGTAGAAGAAATCCGTCGCCTAGTGGTTTTCGGCAATTGATATTTACGTATTATGAAGTAAGCGGGTCAGTAACTTGGAAGTAAGCCGTTGGGCGTTTGGGGATGAATGGAACAGGAACTCGCTATCGCATCGAATCCAATTTATTAGGCTCCGATTGTTAGGACACGTTTTGCGTACGTCCGACGGTCGCCAACCGCAGCGCGCCTCAATCGCAGTGGTTATTGCAGGCTGGAGAAAGCCACGTGGAGGCCAGTAGATGACGTAAAGACGAGGCATGAAGAAATGCACACAGCGCAGATCCTCGTGACTATGGGGTTCACCCCGTCTGATGTCCATCACACTTAGGTGTGATGGAGTGTCTCTCGCCTTCCGGGATGGGGTTCAAAAGACTCCGAAATCGCATGGTTGGAGACACTGAAGGTCGTGCCTGCGAACCGACAGTAATGGCGATCTGGCTGTCACTTCTTATCAGAATGCTTGAAATAGTATGTGTGCGCAGTTGGACTGTGTACTCTACGTTGACCATAGAGGTTCGCTTTCTTTTCCCGTCCCTAAAATTAAGTCCAATCCCTATCTTCCTTAAACTATCTCACTTACCTTGTACGCATTATGAGTTTGGCAGCGATCAGTGAAGTTTGCTTCACTGCATTACGCTGTACAGTGTTGATGATGATGAAGCAGTTCCCTTGGATAAGCCGGCTGCTCGCGACTCATTTGACGCTTATTGATATTCCACTCTCACGTCTTTTAATGTTCTTGGATCGCTGTTATCATTGATATTGAAGAGATAAACAGATAATACAACAATATACCAGTTGTTTTACATCGGTGAACCCCGAAAAACCTGATAAAGTCTCGTCACAAATGCTTCCACTGAGAAGGGGAAATGTAGCCATAAGTAGAAGTGTCACAGCGAGAAGGACTACCTTGATGACAAGAATTACTATATAGCAAGAATATTTGGCGGATGTAGTCAGGTGACCTCTGCGCGTCTACTTACAGCAGTATTAGCTCGCATCTTGTTCGTTTTGCTTTACAGGAAGTCTCCCTTATTTCTTGAAACTGAACGTCCAATTTATTTGTTTTTTTTGTCCTACTCATGTTTCTCACGGGTTGAGTGAATAAAGCGCATTTTGACTGGACATAACCTGCCTTGGCCTGGGTAACCTGGCAGTACTCAGCCCACAAGCCAATCATGGAACATTTTCCTTTTTATAAAGATTATTGTACCATGATTTGTTCGGCACACAGTCTGTCCCCAGACGAGTGTGAAATATAATAATAATAATAATGATAATAATAATAATAATAATAATAATGACTTGACATAATGAACTATATGAAATTAATGAGAAAGATGCAATTTTATAACCTAAACAAAAAAGTTGAGTTGCATTTATTCCAGTGCTAAAATGGGAGTTGCAGTGAGCTCATCGAAGGGACGGGTTTCTGAAGCATATGTGCCGGTTCTTGTCGGATATGTCAATAAAGCTGTACAGCATGGATGACCCTTGCTGCTATCAAAACTAAATAATCAAAGAACATCAAAAATTTCGACAAAAGGGAGCATAAAATATAAGTGAATATGAATCAAGCTGTTTGATACAGAACCTGAGAAATTAAGGTCTGATACGTGCGTATAAGCTATAACTCGTGCACTTCGCATTCCGCGATTTATATTAATATGAGCGTATTCCATAAAAGCGCCACAAGGGGCAATGTTCTTGAGCATTAAAGCACATGAATTCAAGAAGTGCAGTGGCTCAATACCGTCGGAGTAAGCCTCGAGAGTTATCCCTGTCTGTGGTCTGTCCGTGCCCTTTCGGAAGGAGCGTGATTTAATACGACATGATCTTTAGCGAAGCTTTAAGGTTTAAACGCCCTCGAGCGCAGTGATTTCGAGGGAACAATATAGCACAACTTTGGCTGAACGGTTGTCAAGTTTTACAACTCATTGGGCGAATATAAAGACTGGATTTTAAGCCAAGTTGTAAACGTATGTAATTCAAATACCGTATTCATGACGCATCAGACGAAATCCAGTAGTAGCATGGCAAGGACAAACTCTGTAAATTCACAGAAATTCTTTAAACACTGGTGAACCACTGGCAGTTCATCCACGAGAGTTGGCTAAAACCCAAATTCTAAATCGAACAAGAAGCGGACGCATGAATCGATAAACTGGACACTATCTGCCTTGCGGGTCAGGCTTTGGTTAGGTGAAGACTCGAGCTGTACAGTCCCTAAGAAAATTTACTAGATTTGGCCTGGGTAACCTCGCAGTACCCCACCTACATGTAATTTTATGAGATGTTTCTCCTTTTAATAAAGATTATTGTACCGTGATTTGTTTGGCAGTCTGGCATCAGATGTGCGTGAAAGTAATGGAACGCACCATGAAATGCAACTTGATCACGATTTATGAGTACTAACATTAACAAGAAAAAATATCCAAATTCAGTAATGAAACTTACGTGGACCTGAGGAAGGATATGTAGTCCGCCCAGATCGAATAAGAGTTGAGATCGAGACCCATCTTGTCTAACGTAAAATCGTAAGCTTGTGCCATCTTTTCTCTAAACAGTATATAAAAAATCTTATAGCTTACTTGAATGCATGATGCTTTCCTTTCGTTTCCCTGATGTACTGTAAGTAAAGTTTCCACAAATCTATGTGCAATATCTTGACAAGACTGCGCTGAAATAACTTTTCAACGCGTTCGTAATTTTTCGCTTTCATCTAGAACATCAAAAGACAACAAAATAAACTACTTCTTGGTTTATATAAATCTTCCAATATTGACCAGCGAATGGGAATTGCGTTATGATTCTTTCAAAAACCTCTCGTGCATCCTCGACCTTTTTACTTTGTGCATCCCTCAACAAAACACTCCAAGCTTCAATATCCCACGGATTTGTCTTAATCCTTTCCTCAGCCTTTTGCATCTTATCCATCTTATACACCCTTCTTTGTACGAAAGGCATCTTGTTCGAATATCTTGATTGAACTTCACGTATGCGCGGTCACGTAGTAGCACACTCATCGCCTAGGTCAGGACAGGACAGGACAGGACAGATCACAGGACTTGAGGCGGAGCCAGAAGCAGTCCAGTTTCTT